ACCACAATTGTTTATGATCTAAAAACTAATTCATTGTATTGCTCTGTTCCCTTTTCTGCAACTCTGACCATGTCACAGTAGAAGCAGAAGGGGACAACAGAATATGGAAGGATATTTTGTGTGGTTTTTGTTTGTTTCATGATTTGTTGTGGCTAAATAATTTATGTTGTGATGGTGAACTTATAAGTAATGGGCCTTTCCAGACTTAGCTAGGCTTAGCCTTGGTTAGCAGATAGGCTGTTGCTGGAACTAAATATTTGTAGAAATAATTTGTGTTCCTTTTGTTTTCCTTTTTTTATTCATTATACCGTTTTAAAACTAATTTGTTCAATTAGTAAAAATCCACCTTCTGTCCTCACCCCATTCCCCCATTGAGAAAGAAGAAAACAGCCCCCTTGTTACAAATTTGTATAGTCAGGCAAAAAAAATCTCAACATTGGACAAGTGCCCCCCCCCCAAAAAATATTCCCCATTCTGAGCCTTTCACCTTTCTATCAGGAGGTGTGGAAAGTATATTCATCATGAATCCTATGGAATTATAGTTGGTTACTATGCTGATAAGGGTTCTTAATTCTTTCACAGTTGTTTATCTTTGCAATATTGTTGTCGTTGTAAAAATTGTTCTGATTCTACTAACTTTACTGTGCATCAGTTCACACAAGTCTTCCTTGGTTTCTTCAAAATTAATTTTTTTTTGGTGAGGCAGTTGGGATTAAATAACTTACCCAGGGTTACACAGCTAGTAAGTGTCAAGTATCTGAGGCTGAATTTGAACTCAGGTCCTCCTGACTCCAAGGCCAGAGTTCTATCCACTGCACCACCTAGCTGCCCCTCAAAACTATTCTTCATCATTTATTTATTATAGCACAGTAATATTATGTCACTCTTATATTACCATAACTTATGCAGCTATTACCCAATTGATGGGTACCCCTCAGGTTCCTATTCTTTACCACCTCAAAAAGAGAAATATTTTTGTACATGCTTAGAGTTCGGATTGCTTAGGACCAAATCCCTCACTTAATCTACCCTCCCTTTAATTATCTCTTCTTCCTTTTCTATCCTGTTTCCCTACTGAATGAAATATGTTTCATAGTGTATGTATCCACTGTGTATTTGTGTATTCCGTTGACAGTTCAGGTAAGAGTGAGGCTCGCTTCTTAGCTGCTCCCCCATCCTTTCCTCCCTCTTTGAATAAACTTCTACTTGCACACTCTTGATTATATGAAATAATTTTCCCTGACCTTCCTCTCCTTCCCTCAATCCTCCACCTTCAGTATATTTTTCTCTTCCTTCCTTTCTATTCTATTAAGGGTCATCAAGACATAACAGCCATTTCAAGCCCTCTGTCTAATTAGATCCAGATGATAGAGTTCACAGGGGTTTAGTTCTATATAACCTCCCTATATTAGAATGTAAATAATTTATCCTTATTTAGTCCTTTATGATTGTTTATTCATATTTACCTTTTTATATTTCTCTTGACTACTGTGTTTGCACTTCAGAGTTTGTGTGCAACTCTCTTCTTTTCATCAGGAATGCTTAGAAGTCCTCAAGTTCATTGAAGGTCCATTTTCCTTCCTTTAGGATTATATTCAGTTTTTCTGACTTTTTCTTGGTTATAAGCCTATATCCTTTATGTTCTGGAATATAGTGTTCCAAGCTCTCTACTTCTTAGAGTGGATGCTAAATCTTGTGTGATCCTGACTGGGGCTCCTTGGTACTTGAACCCTTTCTGCCTGCTTGCATTATTTTTTCTTTGACTCAGAACTTCTGAATTGTTGGATACATTGTTTCAGGGAGTTTTCATTTAGTAGTTTCTTTCAGGAGCTGACCCGTGGATTTTTTTTTTCTATCTCCTCTTTAACCTCTGGCTGTAAAGGATCCAGGCAGTTTTCTTTTATGACTTTTTGAAATATGTTGTCTGTGCTCATTTGGTCATAATTTTCAGGCAGTCCAATGATTCTTCAATGATCTCTCCTCAGTCTGTTTTCCAGTCTGTTTTTTTTGTTTGTTTGTTTTGTTTTTTGTCTATGAGATGGCTTAAATTTTCTTCTATTTTCTCAGTCTTTTGACTTTGTTTTTAACTATCTCTTCTTGTCCATTGGCTTCTGTTTGGTCCAGTTGAGGATTTTCAGGGATTTGTTACTTGGGCAAGACTTTGTGTGTCTTGTGCCAAACTGTTAATTCCCTTTCCAATTCTTTCTTCTATACGTCTTATTTCTTTTCCAAATGCCCTCTCCTCTCCACCCCTAGCATTCTCATTTCATTTATAAAGACATTTTCACTATTTTTTTAACTTTTGCTTCATCTGTTCTAGGAATTCTTGTGTGCCTTCTGTGTTTTTCTTTGAGACTTTGGAGATATTTCGGAGTTACTTCTTCTTGTGGGTTTGTCTTGAGTGTCCCTGTGACAGCTTTTTATGGTGAGATTTTTTTGTTTGCTTGTTCTTCTAGCCTGCTTCCTGGACTTTGTATTAGGACCATGCTTTTGGAGGGAATGTCTGGGCTGGTCCTGCTGCTGTTTTCTTGGGGTTATTGAGTTTGGTGTTTTAGGACTTAAAGGGACAGCCCAGGCTGGGAACCCATATACTTTTTGTGCTCCCAAAGTGGTCTGATCCAGGGAAAAGTCTGATTGCTGCCCTTCTGGTTTGAGCAACAGGCCTGTGGGTTTAACCCAATTGGAGCTTCAGGAGACTGCTACTGGACTCAACATCAGCCAGCTGGAAAACCCTGATGGTTCAGTGACAACTCAAGGACTCCCCTTGGTCTGGGATGCCTTCCCTGATTATTCCAGTTTGGGCTTTACAGTGGTCTAGAAGCTGGAATGGAGACCTTGTTCCACTCCTGTGGTCCAAGCAATACAACTGATTTTTCTGAACTTAGTCCTGCTCAGCCTAGGGCCCATGATTGATCCTTATCCTGGGATGCAACTCTTAGGTGCAGGTGTTCTCAGGCTGCCCCAGATCTGTGACTGAACTAGGTAGTGAGTGACAGAGCTGCCAGTTTGTAGCTACACAAGCCCCTTTATGCTGAATCTGGAACCTAGCATCTAGGATCTGGCAGCTAGGCAGCATGGTGGATAAGGCAGTGAAGGTGGAGTCAGGAAGACCGGAGTTCAAATCTGGCCATAGACATTTGCTAGCTGAGTGACCCTGGCAAATTACATAACCTTTGCCCCAATTTCCTCAACTCTAAAATGAGAACAATTATAGCACTTCCCAAGGTGGTTGTGAGGATCGTAGGAGATAAGGTGTACAGTGCTTAGCATAGTGCCTGGCATATAGTGGATGCCTAATAAATGCTTGTTTCCTTCTTGCCCTGGTTTGTTCTGAAATGTTCAGTGTGATTAGCTCCTGGTCACGCCTTGTTCTCATTGTCTATAGATTTCTCTATGTATCTCCCTATGCTAACTACGGCTGGAAAAATGACTTTGTGGTTTTTTTTTCCCTTGGATTTCTTAATCAGGCTTTGGTCTGGTGTGTTTTCTAGACCTGGAGAAGTTTGGGGAAGGGGACAGAGCTCAATGTATTTCTTTTTTGCTACTTCACTATCTTGGCTGCTGCTAGAGCCAAATGAGGTTATATTTTAACTGGAACTTAAATAATAGATTGGTGGGTTTATTCTTCTTGAGGTGCTAAAAGTGTTTTGTAAGTAATTCAACTTTGTTCTTCATGTTCTGTGATTCCAGGTCTATTGTGCAAAAGAGTTGTAGTAAGATGACAAGTATCTTAAAGTGGTAGTCAGAAAAAGTAAATGTGTCAAAAATGAAGGTAGATTATAAAGTCACCATCAGACCGTTTCTAGAGTGTTATCTTAAGTTCTAGGGTGTGATATTTTGAGAACAATATGATCATGCCCAAGGTGGTGGGCAAACCATGCCATTTTAGGAAACATTTGAAGGAATTAGGGATGCTTTTCTTGGAGAAGAGAAGACTTAGCTATTTTCAAGTACTAGACGGTCTGTCATGTGGAAGAGAGATTAGCCTTGTACAGGTGGGCAGATTTAGGACCAACAGGTTAGAAGTTTCAGGCAGATGAATTTTGGCTCAGTATAAAGAAAAATTTCCTAATGACTAGAGCATGACAGAGGTATATTGGATTGTTTTCAGAGGCAGATTTGTTTACTCTTGCTTGAGATCTTCAAGGGGATTCTGGATGACCATTTCTTGGGATGTTTAGTGTTAGACTAGTTGGCTTCTGAGATTCTTTTACTTATGAAATTTTGTGATTTTTTTGATGAATTATTAAAAAGATCTTAGTGTATTAACTTCTCAGGATGACTCAAAAACCATGTGGTTGTTTGCAGAATCTCTCCTTTGACTGCAGAGGACCTTTACAGATCAACTGTGTTATCTGATTTCTTTGGTATTTGGTTAATTTAGGATATGTGATATGTTGTTTCTTTTATCGTTTAGTATAATGTCTTTAGGGAGAAAGTACATACATTATTTATATTTTAATGAGAAAAGTGAGGCAGAGATATTAAGTAACATTAAGTTTGGAAGGGCATTTTATAAAATACAAAAACACATAAGTGGTTAGACTCTAATAAAATTTCACTTCAAAGCCCTGTGTTCCAAAAACCTGAACATAGTCTTCCATGTTTGCTCCTTAAGTATAGTTCATTCCTGTCATCAAATTGTCTCCATCATTTTGTAATTTTATATTATTTTCATATCAAATTCATCTTAGGCTACATTAATAGACTTTATAGTGTCCAAATTAAGGAGATAGGCCTACAGTACTTTGCCCCCATCACAGCTGCTGTGTTGTGTTCATTTCTGGTTACTATGTTTTAAGAAGTACCATGATGGTAAGAGAATTGATAATAATGCCAGTCTTTATGGATTTTTCTAAAACTGAAAAAATTGTCATTTTAAAAAATGTTATTTTTGGTGTTCCAGTTCAGAGTGGATTATTTATTGTACATATGTGTGGGCTTATTTAGTTATTTAACAGTTTGGAAGAATGAGAATTCTTTTTTTTTTTTCACCTTAGGTGCCTTATGTTGTTATCATGCGAAGGATAACCTAATGTGTCGTGATGTTTGTGAACAGGTAAGTTTGTGCAATAGTTGTAGCAATATTTAGTTATATATAAGGCTTTGAATCCTGACCCAGTGATAAGACTATATGTCTATTTTCTAAGAATCAGCTTCGCTAAATATAAAGAAGTAGAAATTTTTTGAGGGGTGAGGTAGGAGCTTCGAAACTCATAAAGGAGGTAGTCTAAAGTTATAGAGGAGGTAGTCTAATAAGGTGTTGCAGGTGTTATATTATGTGTTAGGGCAAGATGAAGTGATAGCTTCTCTAAGTATCAAACTAAGTTTTTAGCTATTTAGTTTATTAAAAAACAACAACAAACCTTTTGGGTTTATTACTAAACTTATAGGTGAGGGGTAATTTAGGATAGTGTTTGTTTGGATTTTAGCAAAAGTTTTGTTTAAGTGACTCGTACCAGTCTTGTGGAGTAGTTGGAGAGGTGTAGACTAGACTACAATTCACTTAGATGAATTCTGAATGGGTTGGATAACTGGACTCAAAGAGACTGCAAAATGTTGCTTACAGGCTTTCTAACAACATAGCTTCAGTATCTGTGTCAAAATCATAAAAAATTCTCAGAAATATTAAAATAACGAACTTGGGCTTTTTAAACACATACTATATGCCTGGCAGTAGGAAGGGATAAAGGTACAAAACTGAAATAGTCCCTGCCCTCTAGGAATTTATCTTTTTTCTCGGAGAGAGGGGTCTGGGGAGTACAGTGTATTCACAGATAACTACATACAGTATATGTAGGGACAGATACAAGGATTGGACCTGATTTCATTGATGTGTGGAAACTCCTGAATGAGGAAACTCCTAACCCAGGTTGACTTCTTTGAAATTTCTAGTCTTAATTGCCTAGGGTCATGTTGCCTATAGGTTATATGATTTGGCCAGGATGTGCCAGAGGTGGGTCTTCAACCCAGGTCTTCCTGGCTTCTAGTCTGGTTTGCTGTCCACTGGTCTGCTTCCCTGTACACTAGTGGTGTCAAACTCAAATGGAAACAGATCCTTGCAGACGGCATATTGACTTAGAAGACCAGAAATTAATATTATCTATGTTGTATTGCATTTTTATTTGTTTTGTTAAACATTTTCCAATTACATTTTTATTTCTTTTTTGGAGGCAATCATAACTTGCCCAGGGTCACACAGTTAGTAAGTGTCTGAGGCCAGATTTGAACTCAGGTCCTCCTGGTTCCAGGGCTGGTGCTCTATCCACTGAGCCACCTAACTGCCCCTCCAATTACATTTTAACCTGGCTCTGGCCACACTTGGTTTCATGGCAGCTGCAAGTTTGTACAGTATATGAACAAAGTAATTGGGGGGATGCGAGTGGGGACACTAACAACCAGGGGAATCAGAAGGTATTACTTGACCTCAAACTTCAGGAAGCTGGGGTGGGTTCAGAGAGGCAGAAGTGAGGAGGGAGAACATTCCAGGCATTGTGGCTAAAAAGATATTGAAGCAGAAGATGGAATGTCTTGTATAGGGAACAGCCACTAGGCCAATTTGGTTGAATTATAGAATATGGGAGGGGGATAGATATTATGTAATCAGCTTGGATAGCTAGGCTAAGTGAGATTGTGAGGGCTTCAAATGCTCAGGAGAAAAGCTTATACTCTTATCTTAGAGGCAGTAGGGAACCTCTGAAGTATCTTGAATAGGAAGCAACGTGGTTCGATCTGGAATGTCAGTTTGGTAGCTTTGTGGGCAATGGATAGATAGGCAAAGAGGAGACTATATACAGGAGGATGCTTTAGAAGGTCATTGCAGTAGTCTAGGTGAGAAGTGATGAGAGGGGATGGATTAGGGTAGTTGTGTGAATGGGCAGAAGCAAAATGATGTAAAACATGTTGAAGAAAGTAAAATTGACAAGGCTTGGAAACTGATCAGATATGGAGGGTGAGAATGACAAGCTGAGGATAAGGATGAGTTTGCAAACCTGGGTAACTAGAAGAATGGTAGTGCCATTATAAAATAAACAGGGAAGTTAGAAGGTGGTGTTAGTGGAGCTTAAGAGAGAGATGAAGGCTACATAGGTAATTTTTTGAGTTATCTTCATATAGATGATAGTTGAATCCATAGGAACCAACGATATCCCCAAAAGATCAACAGACTATGTGCTGATTTCTTTTCCTGCTCACTACAAACATGCCCAAATCTCACAACCTTAGAAAGCCTCCACCATCCCCTCTATCTGTCTCTCTATACCTCTCCTTCCTTTTTCAACCACATGCCTAGAAAAAGCTGTCTGTAATTATTGCCTCTGTCTCTTCTCACTCCTTAAACCCTTTGCAGTTTGCCTTCTGACATAATACTCAACTGAAACTTCTCTCTTCAAAATTACCAGTGATCTTTTAATTGCCAAATACCATGTCCTTTTCTCAGTCTTCATTCCTACAATCTCTCTCTGTAGCATTTAACACTGTTGACCACCTCCTCCTTCCACTACTCTTCTCTGTGGGGTTTTGTGACACTGCTTTCTCTTGGTTCTCCTCCTGCCTATCTGACCATTCCTCAGTCTCTTTCATCATCCATAGCCACCTAACTGTTGGTGTACCTGGCTCTGTCCTTTATCCCTTCTCTTGAATCTATAAACTCTACCTCTTGTTGACCTGTTCGGTTCCTGTGGATTCAGTTATTTGTATATAAATGACTTCCACATCTAAATATCCAGCACAGTCTCTCTCCTGAGCTCTAGTTCTGTATCTCCAAATACTTATTCATCATTTCAAACATTTCATATTGTAGACATCTCAAACTTAACATGTCTAAAACAACTCATTTTCTTTCCCTTTTCCTTTTGTGCTTACCTGTTTCTGTCGAGGACAGAAATCCTTTTAGACTTCCAGTTTCTCAACCCTGGTATTATTCTTGACTCTTTACTCTCCCTTACCCCACATATTCAGTCAGTTATTTTTTTTACCTCTACAACATCTGTCACATTCATCCCTTTCTCTCTACTCACAATCATCACCCATCACCATAGTTAGGTCATTTTCAGCTGTCATTGGGACGACTGTAACAACCTCTTCATTGAGCTTCCTGACTTAAGTCTTTCCCCACTCCATCCTCCACATCACTGCCAAAGTGGTTTTCCTAAAATGTAGGTCTCCCGTATCACTCCCTTACACATTAAACTCCAATTGATCCCTCCTACTTTGATGATCAATGTAAACTGTTTAGCATTTCAAGTCTTTTATAACTTTGCCTTAACCTATCTTTTCTAGCACTATTATACATTACTTCCTTTTACACATTACAGTATAGTCAAAACTAGTTTTCTTATTGTCTTTCATAGATAGCACCCCATCTTTGTTCTCCATGCTTTTGTGCTGACTGTCCCTCATGTCTGTGGTTCCCCCTCTCACTTTTGCCTTGTAAAATCCTTGGCCAAATTAAGTCAACATTTGTTTAGTGCTGCTTTTGTTCCAGGCACTATACTAAAGATGTAAATACAAGCAAAAGACAGTGTCTACTCTCAAGGAGCTTTCATTCTAATGGGAGGAGATAAAACATAAAAGTGAGCTGAAAAGTTGGAGGGTGTGGTTGGGTTGATGGCACCAGAGAATTAGAAATGAACAGGGAAAGGAGAGAGATGGCTGACCTTAGGCCCTTCCTCAAAATGGAGATTTCAGGTGAACTCAGCTATGGAAAGAAGAGAATCACAGGGTTGGAGGGATGTTCCAGGGTGGAGGCAGCTGAGGCATGAAGGCAAAGTCCAGAGAGTCAGAAGCTGAGCTGGGACAGTAGTGAAGTTTATTTGACTCAATTCCAATGTCACCTTCTATATAAGAAATTTTCTAGATCCCTTTAGCTTCCTACCCCCATAGTCACTTTTTCTTTATTTTGTTATACATGTTTCCCCCAATTGAATGTAGGTGCATTGAGATGAGGGGCTGTTTGACTTTTATATTTATTTCCTTGGTGCTAGTGTAGTACTTGGCAAATGGTAAACACTAAACAAATACTTGTTGATTGATAGAGGAGAGTGGCTAGGACAGAGTCCTGTAGTACACTCATGCATGGGGGCAGGATATGGATAATGATCCTGCAAAGGAGACTGAAAGGTATACATGATACAGGTAGAAAGAGACACTGCTGTAGTACTATAGTGAACTTTTCATATTTGAAATAAGAGTGATAACAAAAAATCATACAGAGAAGAGACTATCCAGAAGAGAAAGGGATGGCTAATGTTAAATGCTACCTAGAATATAGGAGGGATAAAGACTGAGGAAAGAGTGTTGGCTTTTACAATAAAAATATAATCAGTAGCCTCTAAAAGTGGGATGGAAGCCAAACTGCAAGGAATTGAAAAGTGAGAGGGGTGGGAGTGAAGGCAGCTATTGTATATAGCTTTTTCTAAGAGTTTCACTATGAAGGGAAGGAGAGACTTAGAGTGATAGGTTGAAAGGTACTGTAGGCTCAAACAACAGTTTTTTTAAGCTTGTATGAGACTAGGGCATGTTTGCTGCTAGTAAGGTATGGGGCTGTGTTTAAGGTTGAAAGTTCAGGAGAAATAGAATGGTGGAAGGTATAATATCCTGGAGGAAATGGGAGGAGATGGAATTAAGAGCACAATCAAAGAAATTGGTGTTGACAAAGAGAAGGAGTACCTCTTAGAGACTGGAGCAAAGGAAGAGGGAGTAGGGAATAATGTTGAAGTGTTTTGAAATGTGGAATTGGGAAGGAGAGGGAGCTCAAGACATCGGGCCTAAATTTTTTTTAGTGAAGTACAAGGTGAGGTCCTTGGCTGAGAGGGAGGAAAGAAGGGGTTGTGTAGGTGGCTTGAGAAGAGAGAAAGTTTGGAATAGCTGCTGTGTAGAGTATGTCAGAGAGTCTGTCAGGGAAGAGTAAAGGATTGGCGTGTAGCTGTGAGGACTCAGCTCTGAGACCGGATATCAAACTTTTAGTAGATCTTGTCAGTCCTATTGTGTGATTTTTAGCTTATGTAGCATGTGAGCAGGAATGGAGAACGCAGATGGAGTAATTCAGAGGTGATGTTTGGAAAAGGATGAATGGCAGTAAGACAATGGAGCAGGAAGTTGAACTGGTTGACTAAAGGGTCAAGATTTTGAAGGAAGGAAAATGAGGCCAGAACATATATGAGGTCATAGTGAGGACAGGATAGATATAGGAAGATATAGATCTAGCAAGGGTGAAGCACAGAGAGAAAAGGAAAGACAGAAAGTTATAATCAGAAGAATTTCAGAGAGAATCACCCTCTCTTATCATCAATATCAAATGAGACATAAAATAAGATTATGTGCTTGGCATAGGTGTTTACTATTGTTATAGAGGAGATCATGCACACAATCCAGGTTGAAGAATGGTGAAGACTAACAGATGTTACCTGTCTGCAGATGGTTTACAGATTGCATCAAGCTGCGGAGTATCACAGAGCCTCCTATATGAGGTCTATAAATTACTCTAAAGAATTTGGCTTCTCCACAGAGAAAGAATAAGCAGAGGAAGAATAATTGTTGTCTACTTACGATGAGCATTTGAATAGACAGTCTATGGCACTTGTCCATCATTATGTGTATTTTGGACAGGCATTACAAATAGACAATGAGTTGACCCCATGAAAGGACAAGAGGAAGAATGTAGACTGGATTGACTTTGAGATATTGCACATTTCTTTTAATTGCTCCAAGTTTCTCCCTGAAACAAAACCCCATCTTTTCAGTCCCAGTCTTCCAGTGATGATGTGTCCTGCAGATCATGGCATATTCTACTCAGAAATGAAATAGAGGATCACCCAAAAAGAAATGGAGAGCCATGTGGTGGATGTAGATAGACTATGGACTTAGAGAAACAAAATAAAAAAGACTGCAGCATTTGGAGGCAGGAAAAACTGAATTCAAATCACACCCTTGACATTAGTTATGCTACCTTGGGCAAGTCACTTCATCTCACTGCCTAGGTTTCCACATCTGTTAAATGGGTATTATAATAATGGTGGTCCTACCTCATGGGGTTATTGTGAGCTTCACATAAGCTAATGTATAGATTGTATTTTTCAAAACCTTTAAGCACTATGGAATGTTGGGTTATTATGAAGGAGAGCAGTATAGCACATATCCTCACAGAAGTGTATGACTGGAAGAAGTCATAAAAAATCAAAAAAAAGTCAGTCACATCACATGGAGAGGAAGGGAGTGATAGCCAGAAGACAGCACACATGCTCCATTGATAGGCTCTCAATAGCAAAAGAAAAGTAAGTATTTTGGGTGAACCTCTGTGGCAAACTGACAGGAGGAGAAGGATGAGAGTTGTACAAATTGAGTGACATGGACACATGATCTGCGTTATTTGAGGAAATCTCATATTTATGAGGTCACAGCCTAGATCCATATTAATTGAAAGTAAACCAGTTTCTTTGAATTTGAAACATCCTTTCTATAGTGACAGGTGATTTCTTATTGTTGTTTTAGTTTTTGGTTTTTTTTTTAAACTCTAATTCCTGAAGCTTCCTTTGAAAGAAGAGTTAATTGCTATTTACATTAGCCTAGGATAATTTCCTGTTTGGAGGCAATTTTTTCCTTCTGTTTTAGAATGTTCTGTTGTTTGCAAGCAGTTTAATGGAACTGTATAGAATACTATTGTTTTGGGGTTTTCATGATACTCAGCTTTTCTCCCATATGGTCATTAAAAAACAACCTCTCAAACTGTAGCATATTGTGTTTCTTGATTATTTCCTAACTAATGATTGCACAGTGTTTAAAAGTTACTTTTAGCAGGTATATTTGGAAAATGAATAAAGATTTTCAGCATAGCACTTGAACTTAGGAAAAAAGTTTGTGATGTTTTTATTTATTGGGTTTTTTTTTAAGTTCCATTGAAACTTTTTTTTCTTAAATAGATCTTATCATCAAAAAGTGAATCTCGCCTAAGACACCTTTTACAGAGAGCACCAGGCTATTGCCCAGAATCAATGGTAGGACTTTCAAAAATTTAACTATGGTAGCTCTGTGTGTGTGTGTGTGTCTTTTTTTTTAAACAAACTTAAGCATCTAATGAAGCACTTTTACACTAACTTATCTGTTGTGCTTGGGGTCTCTGTTGTAAGAAAATGTTAGATTTAACTTTGTGAAATGAAAAGTTTCTACATAAATTACTATTAAGAGATTGTTTCATAGTCCCCTATGATTTCATTCTGAAAACTGTAATTATAAGTATGATAGAATTTTTAATAATGTGAAATTTTAATGGAATTTGGTGATTTTTTCATTATATTCCATTATATTTTAAAGAATTTTATGAAAACTAGAACAGTCATTGAGAAGCAACTCAGTGGTGGATGGAGGGCCAGCCTGGAGTCACAAAGACCAGGGTTCAAGTACTATTTCAGACACGTACTAGAGTTGTCACTATGGGCAAATTACATAACTTCTTAGTCTCCCAGGCAGCTCTTTTAAGACTATAAGTTACAGAAACGTTACTGATTTGTATTGGTGGATGGAATTGGTACATCAGTGAAATCACTCTATCTTTACCCCCATCTCCCAGATGTCATAACTAGGGACTTAAGATTAACTTTTTGCTTCAGAGTAAATATCTGGCAAGATTTAATGGGCTGAAGATAGCATATAACCTCTCACAGCCCTACTTTCTCTCGTTTTTCCATGTCATGAGGAAATAGTTTGCTGTTTGTCCCTACTTAGCCTGGGCCTTGAAGCTGGAGGTGGCTCTAGATACTTCATTATTCTAAGGCAGGGATGGGGAACCTGCAGGCTCAAGGCCACATGTGGCCCTCTAGGTCCTCAAGTGTGCCCTTTGACTGAATCCAAACTTCACAGAACAAATCCCCTTAATAAAATTATTTGTTCTGTAAAACTTGGATTCAGTCAAAAGTCCACATCCAAGGACCTAGAAAAGCCATGTGTGACCTCAAGGCCGCAGGTTCCCCAGCCCTTTTGTAGGGGTTGGGTCAGTACAAGGATAGGCCAAGGAATCCCATTGCTTACTTTGGAGACCCTCTCCAGACATGGAACCACACATAATTAAAAACTCTAAATTAATAGCTAAACAGTTGATTTTTCCCTTTTAATTTTTGTGCTTTTGTGATTTTCAAAGAGTTAAGGCGGAACCTTTATCTCTGTTGCTTCTTTTTGCAATGGACAAAGTAGGCCAATTTTTTTTTTCCTGCTCTGGTTCTGACAGTTTGTCTTACTGGCACTGGGTTTTAAGAAATGTTCCTAATAACTTTGAGTCAGATTTTTACACGTAGTGGTATGATCAGAAGAACCGTTGTTTCAATCTGGAATGAATATATTGACATGGACGTAATTAAATTGGCAGCATCTATTGGATATTTTTTCAAAATTATGTGGTATTCAAAAAGTGACTAATCTTTTTTGTATATAATATCCTTTTAGGTTGACGTTTGGAATTGTATGAACTCTTCTTTACCAGGTAAAGATAAGCTTTAGCACTTTTATTTTTTTACTTTGTATTCATATAATAATTATTATTTTTATTGAATGGCTATATAGATATAGATATAGATCCTTTGAAAATAAAGGGCGACCAAAAAAATAAAAGGGCAGATAAGTGGCCCCAGTGGATAGAGCACTGGCCCTGGCCCTGGAGTCAGGAGAACCTGAGTTCAAATACGGCCTCAGACGCATAACACTCACTAGCTGTGTGACTCTGGGCAAGTCACTTAACCCCGATTGCCTCACCAAAAAAAAAAGATAGGAAAGTAAAGGGCACACAGTTTAGTAAATACATAATTCTCATTAATCAGTTAAGCATTTATCAGAGTGATACTGCAAGGTACTTGAGAAGCTTATTTTCTAAATTGAGTCTTGTATCATATACAGTATGATTTCAAAAATGCATAATGTACATTTGCACAGAAAGGAGTTCTAGGGATGTGGTACCACGTAAGAAGGGATAATAATGGGTTTGCACCTTCTTGATGTCCCTGTGTTTATCTCTTCTCAAGGCATATATGAATATATCAAGTTAAAAATAATATTGAGCAAATTTAGGCAAAAATAATTCTTAGTGAGTATAACACTGTAATCAGGAGATTTAGATGTTAGTCCTGGTTCTGCAACTAATTACCTTTATGTCTTGGGACACCTTTTTAAGCCTCATTTTCCTCATCTGTAAAAATGAAGGTTTCAACTAGAGGATTTCTAAGATCTGTAGCTCAGAAATTTTGTGCTTCTGTTCTCTAGAGGCAGCATGATATCGTGGATAGACTTGGAGTTAGAAAGATCTGAGTTTGAATCCTGCTTAGCTTTTTGAATCTGGGCAAGTCACTTAACCTCTCTGGATCTCAGTTTTCTTAAAGTGGGGGAGATTGGACTTGATGATGACTCTGAAGTCCTTTTCAACTTTAAACCTGTAATCATATGATCTTTTATGGAAGTTAGATTGTTTTTTTATTTGACTACTTTTTTCTTTTGACCATTTATTGCAGTTTTAGAAATAACAAAAAATGCTCATGATCATGACAGTGTTTGATTCTTTAAAAACAAAGCGTAATTAATTATATTAGTAGTAATTGACACACAATTTTAGATGGACTTCTATATGATCTCCTTTGAGACTTCTTGAACTTTTTTCATGTATAAGGAATAATTTTAATTTATTATAGATATCTATTTCTATTTTATACAGAAATGTAGTTATGGCGTTTTGTTTAGGCAGTGGGGTAAAGTGACTTGCCCAGGGTCACGCAGCTAATGAGTGTTACGTGTCTGAGGCTGGATTTGAACTCAGGTCCTCCTGAATCCAGGACTGGTGCTATATGCACTGTGCCACCTAGATGCCCATTATGGCATTTCTTAAATGTCAATATGAAGGAGTAATTTTTAATAGCTGTACAGTAATTTCTCTTCAGAATTACAGTTTTTTTTCTTTCTCTGATTCTCTCCTAATGGCTTTTCATTGGTGGTCTCTAAAAGTTCATTTTGGGTCTACCATTCTGTGATCTGTGATAGTTAAAGCAATCTTTAAAAAATCCTATCTTATACTATGATAAATACATAAGGGGAGTATAAAGTACTATTAGATTAGATGAGGAAAAGAGTACTGCTGGTTTAGTGAGTGTTAGAAACTGAGTGATTTGAGTTTTATCTTCTCTTCTTGTCCTTTTACCTGAGCATAGTCACCAAAAGTTAGAAATCTCAGCAATAAAGGAGAATTGTAGATGAATTAGAAAAAGGATCATCATTCAGTGATTATTCTTAAAATACTAGTAGCAATTCCATCAACTCTAAGAATTGAGAGATGGGGCTAGGTAAAATTTTCAGAGGTTTTCCAAGTTCGTTTTTCAGTGGTTGATATTTAAGGAATATTATGTACAATGTCTAGTTTCAATTACATTTGAATTTGAAAGAACTGATAATGTGGTTCCTTGAATGACTGAAAAATAGATGTGTATTTTATCTTAAAGGTGTTTTTAAGAAGTCTGATGGCTGGGTTGGCTTAGGCTGTTGTGAACTGGCCATTGTTTTGGAATGTCGACAGGCATGCAAACAGGTAAAGTTTTAAAAAAATCTTAATTCTTATTGATGGGAGAAGAAAAGGTTTAGAACAGCTTCTGTGGGGAGTAAGATAGACAATCAATCAGAGATTATGCTATATTGGGGAGCTAGTTGAGATTAGATAACAGAAATTTCTAGTGGACCCAATTAGCTTGATTGTATAACTTTATCCAGCTCCATTCAGCAGCATGTGAGTAGGAGCAAAGGAGGTGGATGGTGGGGGTATTGAGATTTGGGATTTATGGTGCATCATAATATACCATGCCTGAATTTTAACAAGATAGTATGGCCTTGTGGACAAGATGTAAAAATGGGGGCTAAATGGTAGTTTCAGTTAGATGTATTTTTACTGGGTCAAAAGACAGTACCCTCAAAAATGTTAATGTTGCTGTTGCCTTGGGGTGAGGGTCTTTTGTGACATGGTGTGGGTCTCTGCCCTTGTCCTTGTCCTTTTCAGTTTTTAATTAATGAATCTCTAATTGGTCTTTTGACCCCTAAGAAACTTAAGAGTTATTGCAAGGGGTCTGTAAAACTATGTGGATACCAAGTATTGTCATGTTTATCTTTAGCTCCATCAAAAAGCATAATTCAATGTTAATAACTACTATAAACATGTACTGAATTAGTAATATGTCTTGGACACATTATCATTGATTATAAAGATACTGTTATGACTAATAAAATACAAATTCATTTGAAAGCATTACTGAATTAATTTTAACTTTTGTCATATATTTTGTTAATCAATGAATATTAATAGTACAACTGTCTTGTGAGAATCCATGAGCATTTTGACCTTAAGATGTTTCTGTTTTGTTTTGTGCTAATTAGTATTTCCTACAAATTAACAAAAAAATCTGTTGACATTTAGGCTTCTTCTAAGAATGATATTTCCAAAGTTTGCAGAAAAGAATATGAGGTATGTATTTTGCTTTAAAGTTTAGAAATAATATTCAGATACTACTAGAATTATGAGAACTACTTTATTTCTGAGTGAACTAGTTGTACAAGTAACATACATTGGCCTTTCTTCTCTTAGACATTTTATTTTACTTTCCACAAAAAAGTTTCATTTACCTGATTTGAGAATTTTTTTTGAAACTAAGTACTGATTTTATAAGAAAAATATAAATGTAATGGACAGATTACTTAATTTAAACTGAAGATTTTCTTCAGTAGCTTATTATTCTTTGTTTAAAAATGACCCAGTACTAATTAGAATTTTTAAATAGGCAAAATTTACCAAGGTTCCCCACACGTGTCCCTTTTTCTACTCCCTTTCCTTGCCTGAATGATTCCCTACCTACACCCATTGCTAATTAGTGTGAATAACTTAATGTAGTACCTATCTTAAGAGAATTTGTGTCTTAAAAGAGAACAAAGAAAGAAAGAAAGGGGTTTAACGCAAAGGGAGCATATCTTCTGGTGATGAAATTTTGATTATGTGTCACCTGTTCAGAGGTGGGCCTTTTTGGCCCCTTCAAATGATACCCACTATGTAGGCTATTCACTGTCTCTGCATAAGATTGAATCTGACAAGATGCATGTAGTTGAGCTTTTCTGTTGGCAGCCTACAGCTTTCAGATTTAAAAGAGAACGTTCCATTGTTATTCCATTGAGAGCAGTATTGCCCTTCATGGGATAAGGCTATTTAATCATTTACACATAAGGATAACTACCTTCATAATTTCTTTTGGCTATATAAAATTGGGGAACCTATTAGATTCTTTTTCTTGAGTAAAGAAAAGATTATCAAGTTAAAACTGTTCTTTTTTTCCTCAGTCTGTTTCTGGGTTATGATCAAGATTTCTTCCTTCCAACATTAACATTTGAAACATTTATAAGAATTTTGTTCATTTCTTATTCTTTTGTGCTTTTGGCCAAGTTTTATAATCTTTTATCTGTTCTTCTGAAGACAGTTTTCAAATGAACTGTAATTTATTTCTCTTCTTCTTATCGAAAGAGTACCTTGATTAAAAAGAAATGAAAGGTCCTTCTCTTTTTCTTATGCTCTTTACTTCTGAAATGACCACTATTTAATTTCTCTTGGCTAATTTGAATAATTCTGTCTTCTCTCCTAAATTATGTATTACACTGTCCATCTTCTGTAACTTTTCCTCTATTATGTTAGTCTGTTTCCTTCCCATTTCTGGATTTCTACATTGCCCTAGGAAGTCTGCCAATATGTGTTGATGGAGTACGGGAGAGGAAAGGTAAGAGAGATTAAAGCAACCTATGATAGAAGTCCTGAGGGTAGCTTTTTTCTTTACTGACTAGGTACCCGACTCATTTTCCCAGTTTCTATTCCCTTTTTTTTTTTGTCTGGAGTTAATTAAGTTCTGGGAAGGTTCTTCTCTTTAATATGAAATTTTACCTCAGGGATTTTTAGATTCACTCAGAGACTCCATTCCCTTAATGATAAATTTTGGAGATGCTAAGGAAGGGACCAATTGAATACTGAAAGAAAGATCTACAAAGGGAGATAAGGTGAAAAAAAACCCAACAAATAAGATTTAAACCAAACGTAGAATAATTTAGAGATAACATGGCATATACCAAATAGCCAGTGTAGCTATATTTATTGAGACCATACGCAGTTTGGACAAGGAAAATTTGGAGAACTGTCTTGTTAGGACCCTTCCCCTTCTAGATGAAAGAGCCATACAGAGGTTCATCCAGACATGTAAACTATGTCCCACTGTGGAATTCTCCACATTATTATATATTTTATAATAATTATAATTTTTCAGAGGACTTGTATTCTCATTTGATAGAAGGGCTAGAAAACTTGAATTAACTAATGCCAGAGAGGTCTAGATAGATGGAATAGATATATTAAGTTACATTGTTAGTTGTTAATTAACTGTTACTTTGTTGGATGATTTGAGACAGTTGTTTAAAAGTAACTGATAAAAAAGTTATGAAGAGTTTGTATAGATTTCTTTTATGCCTTGAAAATGCAAAAACAATACAAAAAGCTTAGTGCAAATTAAAGTAAAGCAACCAAATTAAAAAGAGCTATAGCAAAGCATACACAGTTAATTCTCAACTAAGTATGGGATAATTATTCAGATTTTTAATTCTTTTGCCATATCTTTTTCCATCTTTGTCTACCTTGGACCTACCAATTTTGACTACCTTTAGTAGGTAAAGATTAATGAAAGAAAGTGACTAAAGTCTGTTCATTTACCTACTTGTTAGTAATTTGAGCAAGAGTTTTAAAGGAATGAAAATTTTTACTAAAATAAGATTTTTGTACTTTTATATCCATTCTTTTTCTCACTGGTGTCCAAGCATTTAATATAAAAGCAAAATTATTTTGTATAACTTTGCTGTAATTGAAGAAATTTACTCATATTTCTTAAGGGCCTTTACTTAAAATGTGTAATGTAGGATTTTTAGCCTTTTTTTAAGCTATGACTTTTTTCATCCTCTTTTTCATTCAAAGTAACCAAATACTATGCAGAGTATAAGATCCACACTAGAAGCAACTACAAGACAATATGAGAGCATATAATAAAGTAATATGTTAAGTACAATATTGTAGTAAGTGTATATTTAGTGGCCAGGAAGCATTCCACACTTAAAATATATTGGGAAGAATAAATAAATCATTGTTGGCTAGGATTATCATGGAATATTTAATGGAAGAAGTGGGAATTGAAATGGTCTCAAGAATGAGAGTATAAGTAGTTTATTCAGTAAAAAGTAAGTGGTAATCGTATATTCATTCTTAAACTGAAGAGTAATGTAAAAAACCCATCGTTTTAGAAAGCTTAGTCTGGCAGAGCATCCTACAAAATGTGTTTGGGAGGGGCATGGATTGTGGCAGAGAAAGCTGCTAGGAATCTTTTGGAGGTTTGGTGACAGTGGAAATGGAGGTTAAGGAAGGAATTTGAGATTTTGAAGAAAGAATAGGACACAATAACATTGAATATAGGAGTTGAAGGAATGGAAGAAATAGAAAGTGATTCTTAGTTTGAGCATGATTGATTGGTAGACATCCACGATTCTATATCACCAAGTTTATAACTGATTCATTTAGATTTAAATATTGTGTGTAAAGTTATTGGGGGAGAAGGCATTTGGTAATAAGGGACTCTGGGGGTCAGGACTGAATGACTTTAGAGTCATCAGTTTAGAAGAATCATATTTGAGAATGGATAATTTTACTAGGGAAGAAAATGTAGAGATAAAAGAACCAAGGACAGAGATTAGGGGATGCCTGGATGTAGATAAGAATATAGATATTGGTCCAAAATCTGAATATTAGAAAGAACTTTATAATACAATTTAGAGCCATCTCAGAATGAAGTGGATTGCCTAGTGAGAGAGTGAGCTTCCCCAGCAAGGGAAATGTTCAGGCAGAGGATAGAACACACATATCAGGAGTGTTGTAGGAGGGATTTTTGTATTGAGTTCAGCAATTCATTTGAAGCCAGCAAAATTTACTAAGTACTATGTGTAACTTGGGTAATACAGAAATTCTCATTAGCATTTCAAATGTGTGACCTGAGATGCCACCATACTCTCTCCACACATGATATATCCCTACTTGCCATTTGAAATATTGGTGATATACATTTAGAAAGGAATGGAGTTTTCATTTAGAGGCTGTGTTGAAGTTTACTTTTGCATGATTTATGGAAAAAGAATTTGTAAATGAATAGTGCAATGTAAATGACATACAGCATATGTTTAACTTGTTTAAGAAAAACAACTATTTTAATGACTTAAATATATCATTTATAGGCAAGTGGATGCTAATTACACAGTAAACTCAACAAGACCTCTTGTTGGAAATTTAGATAGACTATACCTTACTAGAACTGGTAAGAATATATTTGCCTGAATAAGCAAAAAGGCTTTAAGCTGAAAAGGAAAGGGAGGAGAAACTGCATATAGATAGGCACCAAGCTAAGTGCAGTACAGAATAGACAGTGCACCCAAAAAATTGCAGTGTTTCAGTCATGGGGAGGAAATCCAGGAACCAGAATTGAGAAGCATTGTGGAGAGTATTTGAATGAGAATCATTGGAAGCAGAAATAGAAGCAGTACCTGGATGGATAGAAGAAATAGATGAAGTATTTAGGAGATAGATTCCAAGTCTGGCACAATATAGTAGTGATAGAAGACTTTAATTATCTGGACAAGTTCAGAAGTTTGCTGCCCAAATCCCAGGTAAAAGTGTCTTTATTGCTTTAATGATAATTTTATTCTTTAGAAAGTAAAGAACACCAATAAGGTGAACTTCTGGTCTAGATTTGAGTCTCAGTAACAAGAAGTAACTAGTTTCTGGGAGGGAATTGATGGAAACCATTAGGGAAAATGACTACTGTATCTTTGAATTTGGAATAGAGAAGAGGAACACCAAGAATAGTCTGACATCTATCAATTTTAGAACAGGAGATTTCAAAGGATTCAGACAGAGAAGGAAAGTTAGGATCCTGTGACCTAAAAATGTTCAGGGAAAGTCACCCCAAACAAAATGAGAACTACTCAGGAGTGAAAATTCTAAAAACACAAGGAGAGATGCACAGGTGAGGAAAAGGGAAAATTTTTCTAAAAAGACTAGGACACTGGGCACTTGTCAGTTAACTTAGATTTTTTTAAAAGAATGTGAGGGGTAGGTAATAGAGGATGAATAAAAATAATGGTACAGCTCTGTAAAAATAGTGTGATGGAGGAGTACAGGATTAACTTGGGTCAGGAGGAAGGCTAAGGAGAGATAATTTACTTTGCTTTTTTAAGGTACACTGGAAGCAGTAGTGGGAAGTAGCATAGCATAGCATAGCATAGTAGGTGAAGAGCTCACATTGGAGTCAGGAAAACCTGGGGTCAGCTCCACCTGTGACATATACTAGTTGTGTGACTCTGGACAAGTCACTTGAACTCCCAGCACCCCAGACATCTCTCTAA